CCTGTCGTAAAGCCTGCTGAAGAAGCACAAGCTGAATCCCCCGGAGACACTTGGGGTAGCTCTGGAGGCACTATAGGGGCTTATCTCCATTTCCCCTGTTACGAGAGCCGAGTGGCCTTGGCTGTACGCGTGAGCCCCCCTATTCTTCACCTAAATGCAGTATTTTTAACAACAGCTTTGTAAAGTCACGGACATGCAGATAATAAGTTTTGCAGCGTCCTGATAAGAGATTCTGGTCATCCGGCACCTCCTGCACAAAGCTGTGAACCGCAGGCTGGGTTATGCTCCGTGCCTTGCCAACACTCCTCTGCGGTGATTTGTTCGGAGCATGTGGCCAAGCTGGCTAATAGCAACCCGTCTCTGAGGCCCATAAAATGCATTGCCAAATGCAGATTTTAATTAAATGCTGGCCGTTATATTTGTATAGAGTCCTTTTGTCTGGAAACAGTGTTTTTCATTATCAGGAAATATTTGACTTTAAACTCCGTTGACTGGTTATATGCTTGCTGGCAAGGAGCAGGAGGGCAAGTTGTACTTTGGGGGAGAAGAGAAGACACTTTGCTCTTGAGCTGAATACTTCCCATCATCAGAGGTAGAGTCAAAAAATTGTCAGAGAGATAATTACTTGAGACACTGTTTTCAGACAACAGGGTAAATTATGGAAAAACTTAACTGTTTTCCCAATTACGGTTCCCTGTTGCATTAATATCCACCTTGTTACAGTAATTAACCTACAGTGTCGCGCTTCAGTGAAATACCAGTGGAGTCTCCTGCTTCGAATGCACAGCTTTCACGTTTATTTAGCGCTCCCAACATAGACCTTGCTGCCTGGCCTAGGACACAACAGGCAGGCTGTAAATACGTGCCTTATATTGCCAACTTACCGCTGCAGGGTCAGGCAGCTACTGGGGATGCTCAGCTTAGCAAAAGGATGAGATATGTCGGTGGCCAAGGTTGAGGGACGTGGCCAAGGTTGAGGGACATGGCCAAGGTTGAGGGACGTGCCCTCCGCGGAAAGGCAGGGCGGAGAATTGAGTGTGCAGTGTGACGTCTGGTGGCATCATGCACTGTTGTGATACGGTCCTTGGGTGTTGCTCATCCAGCTGGACTCGCTACTGGACCCCTGTGATTTACAGGGTCATCTTCTGCTGCCCTGAGTGTTTACTCATCATTTATAATGAAAGGTATTCTTTTCAAATGAGCAGCTCTGGTTGAACTGTATTAATGAGCAAAGAAACGTCGGAAGCTGCCG